ATATATATATATAGCTTATTTATATCTAGATTACTAATTAAGATATAGCACACGATATTACTATCTAAGTTTAGAGAGCAATTTAGATAGGCAGTAGATCTAATCCAGTAGTAATTAAAACGCTACTAAGTATAATTAGTTATTATAGTTATTACTATATTAGGAAATCTCTAATACTATATATAAAACCAGCTCTTAAAAGAGGTAAGTTATATTTACTTTTTTTCTAAAAAGTCTTTTATATATATATCTATATATATAGATATTTAAATATCTAAATATATTAAAATACTTTACTAACATATATATATTAAGACTAGAGTTTTTAGTAAGATAACGCTAAGATCTATAAAGCTAGAAACGTTGTAAGCTAGTTTAGATAAAATTATATTAGAATCTTTAAGCACCTACTATATAGTCTAGATTTAAATCAAATAAAAAATATATAGAGCTTACTTAAGAACTAGCTTACTAAGTAGCTAGCTAGTAAGCTTAGCGTTAGAAATAATAAGTAAAGTATTAATACTTTTATTACTACTATTCTAGAAGAGTNGTATAAAATACTATAAAAAGATATAGATAACTATATTCTATCTTNACTAAGACGCTATACTAAAGTAGTAAAAGCTAAGAGCTGGTATATAAAGTATTAGTAAGTAAGTAGCTAAAAATATGTAAGTTATTTACTAAAAGTAGACTTTTTTAATATCTTAATATTTAGATAGATAATATATATTAATATTTAGATATATTATTTATCTTACTTATATATATATATATACTAAAACTACTTTATATCTTAGCGCGAAATTTTAACTAGAATATTAATTTTTTTAATTAATAAACTTTAGAGTTTTCTAGTATCTTGTACCTGCTGACTAAGCAGTATATTCGCATCCTAATATTCAATATTAAGAGATTAGCTATAAAATACGCTAAAAATAAATTTTTTTGCTTTATAATTGGCTGAGATATATAAGTTTGAAATAAGCTACTTTTTTAAGTACTTTTTGTTTATCACCCCACTATATAAAATATACAAGTGTATAATAAAGCTATAGCTAAAAATTAATAATTAGCTAAAATAAGAGATTATATAGTAGAGTATATTTTACCTATAAACTATCCTAAATAGAATAGAAGTTAATTTTTAAGCTCTTAAATAACTTTAACTTCGCGTAGCTAAATACTATTATGTAGAGATACTAACTAAAATAATATATTATTTTAAAATAGTAACCAGCTATCTTAATAAGAAAAAGCTATAAATCTTATCTATATCTAGTTAATATATAATTAACTTTTTAATTTTCTAGATTAACTAACTTATAATTTTAGTAATAATATAGAATATTAAAATAATACTAATTAGCTAACTATTATTTAATCTATAGCTAATAAAGACTATATAAAACTAAGTAAATACTATTCTATGACTAATTAAGAATAGAGAAATCTTTTTAATTACGCTAGTATTCTAGACTTTATATAAAAGTTTACTATATATAAAGTAGTTTTATTATAAATATTTATTATATCTAGATACTAATTTTATAAATAGAATAATACTTAGAACTAAAATAATAAATATATATACTAATAATAGTTACTAAACTATCTTAATTACTATAATAGCTTAAAGTACTAATAATTATTAAATAGCTTATATACTTAGAGATTATAAGACTCTAAGTAGTTTTATAAGCTCTCTATACTATAATTATAGTCTAAAAGCTTATTTAGCTCTAGCTAAAATTTCTAAGTCAAGAAAATTGATAAAGAGAGAGGTTTAACTTACTAAAAAGATAAACTATATCTAAGTACTCTCTATATTAGAGAAGAAGAGAAATTTAATCTTCTAGAATAGTAGAGAGTAAAAAAGTAGATCTAGTTAGTAAAAAAAATAAACAATAAAGTAGTTTAGGAAATTAAGAGATAATACTATCTCTATATAAGCGTCTCTATTTATTATACTACTATAATTAATTACTATAATAAATTATATAATCTCTAAAAGTAAAGTAATAGTTTATAAATAGAGTTTATTAATAAAAAATACTATAGAGTAAACTAAACTCTATATAAAGCTATAAAGTAATTACTATATAATATATAAAAAACTTAAGTAATTATAGCTAATAGATATATAAAATCTATCTAGAGATATAATCTAGATTAAATTAAGTTATATAGACTTTAGATAGAGATAGTAGTAGAAGTTCTTAGTATTAAATAGTAGTAGAGGTTAGAGTATATAGACTCTAGATAGTAGTTAGGTTAGATCGCACCTCTATAAGACCTAACCTAACTACTACCTAATACTAAGGGCCTCTACTACTACCTCTACCTAAGGTCCGTGCGACCTAACCTAACCTATACTATACCTCTAGGTAGACTCTACCTATTTACTAGTCTATATAAAAGCTAGCTTAGCTTTTATTACTAGTATATGAATAGAAATAAGAATGTAATATCTTAGCTAAGAAAGCTAGAAAGAGAAAATAAGAAAAAATAAAAATAAAAAAAGAAATATAAAGAAGAATAAATTTTAATCTTTTAGTAATATTTTCTTTCTCTTAAGAGAGGTTATTAGAAGGTAGCCTAGCTATTCTATATCTCTCTCTATTACTAAACTACTCTTTAGTACTAAGTATTTAGAGAGCTAATAATAGCTTAGCTAGATATAGGCTAAAGTACTATAGTTATATAATATAGTATAATATACTAAATTATAACTAGTTAGATAGAATAGCCTTTAGCTAAAGTTTTATATAGCTAACGGCTAATATAGGACTATAATAGAATAATAATAATAATAATAATAATAATAAAAGGTCTTTAGCGCGTGGGCTTCACGGCTTGGCACTAGTTGCACTTGATTTCTTAGGATGGATTTGTATATATTTAGCTAAAGTTACACCTAGTCTGAAAAAACTCGAAGTTGGTGTTAGTTAGTCGCGGTATTAGGTAGGGTCTTTATAGAGTAACTATTTTAGTCTACTAATTAACTTGCTATATAGATACGTTAAACTGTCGGAGATGGTCCACATTCCTCTAGGTTACCGCCGCTCCGAACCAACTCCGCCTAATAAACCCGATATTCTGCCGAAAACCTGCACCCCTGTCAGCATACTAATAAGAGTTCAGTCGTAAGTCGTATTCGCTTGATTATGGCAGCCTGGCTGCGATTGAAACTTTACGAAGCAAGAGCGTACTAGGAAGACACGACCTACCCTTGTAAAGTATCTATTGTGGTTCTACTCTGTTTGCTTTATCGACTTGTCGACTTCATAGCAATCTTCCTGCTCGTTTCATGCTACAGTATGCGGAGCATCGTTTCGGTCATCTCGTACCGCGAGGTTGACAGCTGGGTACTTCTTGGAATAACGGCATCCAGCTGCCTGATTACATGAAAGCTCAGTACGCACCGACTTTCGCCCCACATGGCCATATTCAACCCGCGCATTATTGCACACTTATGATCACAAATAGCCCAATGTTGCACGACTCAAGGCCTTGCACGACTCAAGGCCTTGCGTACGTCTTGGCCTCCGTACTAGGACGGCTAATCTGAGCGATCCTATGTCGTGTATTTTGGAATAGCTAGTAGATATTCTTTGGGCTTGTATCAACTTCATTGAAGTCGCGCATTTGGTCGCACAATTGCCGTCGAGTTCCAACCAGACATGCCTCCGAAGGTAATGCAAGTGGCAAGCACAGAAGTAGAAAGTGCTATTAACTGCATGATCTCTCTATAATTTCCTCCTTCTTGCCTCATCTGCTGTCAGAGCGCCTGTTGATTGCGGGCTTTCTGCGATACCGATTCTCATCAGGTAGCAAGGGTAGTCGTCACACGGACAGAAAGCGGCAAGGTTGTAAGGTCCACATGGGAATTGATGACGACAGCAACTTGTTAGGCGTAACGGCTGCTGCGGCGGTGTTACGCTATCTGCGTTAGCTGTGGCGCACACGCTCTACTCGTCGTGGTCCTCGCTCTATTATATCCTCAATGTGGGTCGTTAACAAGCTCGCCAAGGTGCAACAAGCAGCCGAAGCATCCAAGTCAAGCTTTGAGGTGGATCTGGGGATAAATTGATAGCACGCACACCGCAAACGCATTCGGAAATCTTTAGCCGATGCCGCCGACAGTATTGCCGAACATCCTATCAACTGGCCTCGCTACAACAGCTTCAAGCAGGATGCGCGCCGTGCTCGTCGCGGTATTAATTTGCACACGGGGGGCGATAATGTAGTCTCCAAAAGTTGCGCCGATGGACACGTTTCAGCCACCCGCTTGCAAGGGCTCGCATCCACCGCGATTCGCTACGTATCGAACGGGAGTTAAATCGGACTCGGACTTCCTATACGCCTGGTTTACTCATTCGTGGGATTGGCTTCCCCATCGTTTTAGCGTATAGGAATGACGACTGCTACACGTTTGTCATCACACCGGCGTGTGTTGGGTACGTGTGAATGATAGGATAGATCGGCATCGCGAGATAACTAAGTCTGCGAAGCGAACATTGAAAGGCCATATAAATAGTGCTGGTCGAGTAGACAATGGCGGCGTCATTGAGTCCGAATAGTCCGCCAGAAGCACCACGGTCCGTCGTCAACATGAGATACTCCTTCGTACACGTCCTCTCGTCCCTAGCCGGTTCTGCTCTCGCATTCCCTGCTCCTCAAGCATCTGCCATACCTGATCCTGTTGATCCATCAGCTGTAGCTAGCGATCAAGTCCTGCCCAAAGGAGCTTCAGGCTCTCTTCGTGGCTCAGAAGCATTGATCGGGTTCGCAGCAGCAAACCCAATCTCCACCAAGTCGACTGTCATTCCACCTGACGAGTTTGAGCTTGGAACTGGACAGTCCGCAGACCCTGACGAGGGTCTTTACATTGATCTTACAAATGTGAAGAACCCTCAGCCCATTCGAGGTGGCACTACTGGGCCAACCGACCCTGGACCAAGGTGAGTTTTGGGAACGGTATTACGAGATATCATTTCTGCTAACAATCATACAGGACGGACGCCTACGACGCACTAAACAGCGACATCTTCGCACCGCCTACCACTGATGCAGGAGATGTAGGTCAGGCAAAGTGGCCATTCGGATTATCGCACAACCGCCATGGTCTGGCTGGTGCTGGTTGGGCGCGGAACCAGAACGTCAATCAACTGCCAATCGCAACTGCGATGGCAGGTGTCAACATGCGTCTGAGCCCGAATGCTTACCGCGAGCTTCATTGGCACAAGCAGGGCGAGTGGGCTCTGATGTGTGTGAACCACGTACCCTGCAACTCTTAATATGCTGACATGAATATCAGGCTTAATGGCAGCGTCCGAATTCAGTCGATGAACGAAGCCGGCCAGACTTTCGTGGACGATGTTCAAGAGGGAGATGTGTGGTTTTTCCCTCCGGGTATCCCACACTCCATCCAGGCATTTGACACTGGTTGCGAGTTCTTGCTTGTATTTGACAGTGGTGACTTCTCCGAAGACAACACTTTCCTGCTCTCTGAGCTCATGGAGCGTAACCCCAAGGAGGTCCTCGCTAAGAACTTTCGTACCACAACCAAGACATTCGACTCGCTACCTGATGGCCAGCTCTGGATCTTCCCAGGTACTCCAGCTCCCAAGAACATTAGCGAGCAGAACGTCACAGGCCCTGCTGGTCTCATTCCCAAGCAAACACAATACACATACCACTTCTCGCAGCAACAGCCACTTAAGGTCCCTGGCGGTTCCATCAAGATCCTTGATCCCACTACCTTCCCCGTTGCAAGCAGCTTCTCTACGGCTTTGATCACCGTCGAGCCCGGGGCGATGCGCGAGATGCACTGGCACACCACTTCAGACGAGTGGACATACTTTCTGCAAGGCTCTGCTCGCCTGACCGTCTACCAGGCTCCCGGTTCGTCGCGCACATTCGATTTCACGGCCGGAGATGTAGGCTACGTTCCAGTTCCCAATGCTCATTACCTTGAGAACACCGGCAATGAAACATTAGTTTTCCTGGAGGTGCTGCAGGCCAAGGAGTACTCTGACATCAGTGTCAACCAGTGGCTCGGCTTGACACCGAAGCAGATTGTAAAGGATCACCTGAAGGTCAGCGATGGCTTCTTGGCGACATTGAGGAAGGACAAGCCTATCATTATTCAGGGTAACCCTGACTTGACCACCACCGATTTTACGCCTACTGCTGGCGGGTCCTAATTTATAAACTCTGTGGCTGGTAGATAGGAAATAGCATATAATACAGTGCGCAATTATACATCCTTCTGCCTCGAACCCATATCTCGTTGTGCCATAGTACACATAAAACCAACACCAATCATGTTTCATAAGATCAGCCGGCTGACGAGTCGTCCTATATGTCGATCCAGATTTAGGGTCCTCCAGAGATCTATGCGAATACGAATGAATCCATTGCTGGAGTTAGCGTGCAATTGTACACCTGTGCACAGCCTTAGAGCTAGCAAGATAGAAAGGCCCTTCTCAGTACCGGAAACGCAAGGCTCATGAGTAGATTAAAAATGCCATCACCATCATGTGTATCATTAGGTATCTCGAAACCTCCCAAGACTGAGAATGCTGCCCCTGGTGAAGCTGTCCCTTAAGATTTCTCCGTTACTGTGACCGCGGTGGTGTTTTGATGACTTGCTCCACAGTCCAGGTCTGCAGGATATATCCTTCGTGCTGCGAAATTATATGTTTTTCCTCTTCGATGAACATCGAGGGCAGCGTGATCATTCCGCGCAATGGCTGGCTTGATTGAGGTGACGGAGTCTTCGACTTCTTCGGTCCCTGAATCTCCGTCTAAGTGCCGCCTCTCGGATCGATGAGCACCAAATAAGCCGGACTAAGACTTCTTCTGTAGCCACATTGATCCTTCCTCTCTCTAAACAATATGCCAGACAGAATTATAGTCTAAATGGAATTATGGTTAGATAGCGCGTTTTACCCCTACCCATCTACCCACCAGTTCGCAGTAACAAATGCCGTCCAAACGATGTTTCAAATTAATCTAGTTCTTATATCAGATAAAGAAAGCTCTTGCGGGTTTAATACACTATATTTTATTATTATAACTAATACATTTCTGTACTCACAGTGCCGCCAGCGACGGTGCGGCAACGATGGAGACAGGCTAACCGCTCACTCCCACTCTATAATGCGATGAAACCTGCTCGGTTTCTTCTCTCTCAACGACTTTAATAATTGATAAAACTCAGGCTAAACATGAAGTTGGTGTGCACCAATTACATGCATGCGAAGTTGCTAACAATCAAGTTGATCGGCAGATTGATTCGCGAACGTGCCACATCACGCTCCGTGACACCATGCACGTCCCTGCCTTTGGCACGTTCGCGAATCAATCTGCCGATCAACTTGATTATTAGCAACTTCGCATGCATCAACTTTGAACCAATTGCGATTTTAAGAAGCTAAGCCTAGCCATTGCATACGATCTGTAGTGGCGGAATATAGGAAGATGCGGTTTCTAACTACTGATAGACTGTAATGGAATGACAATAATAACAAGAGACAGTAGTTAGTGATGATGGTTCATTTGCCCTAGAAGTATCGGCTAATTACCTGTCCTATGGCCTAGGATACGTCTGATCAAACGATGCATATTCTCCGACCAGTACTAGATATCCAAGTCTTGCATAATGCTCCGCCTGCTTTGACTTCTTCTCCAATCAATCTATGGCAGTGCTGCTAACAATCAACTCAATTGACGACTCCGAGATTGATTAAATTGATTGTTGCAGAGTCTGCTTCTTCAGGCGCGAGGATGACTATGGAACTATATTAACTTCGCGTGCCACCGCAGTATGCGGCTGGAGCGAATCAATCACTTCCCCTCGAAGTACGCGTGCGACTACTGCGCTGTGATATGCTTCAAACTCGCTTTCTTTGCTTTGCCATACATTATCCTTCACATCGAACAGCATGCGCCTACAAACACCTGGCGCCCAGTCTTGTATAGTGTCGCAGAGGGTCGAGAGACTGAGGAACTCTAGGCAAAGGCATTGCCCAATTTCTGTAAGAGTCGGCTCCCACGTATTCCGATAGTCTCCCAGTCGTACAAGAGACGTGCGTACAAGTGTAAGACAGCGAAGCGTATCCTTGTGCGCAAGCAGAAAACCCATCAATGTCTTCCGATCGGTCGCTATCTCTAGTTCAACGCTGCAGATCTGATTCCAACGCGAGTGAAGACTAAGATGTGAAAGTAGCATCATGGAGCCTCGCGCCTGTTCTCTCTCTTGGCTCCCATACGTTGGACGAAGATAGCCATCAACAAGTCTCCCGAATGCTAGGCTCAATTGTTGGAGTTTGGTAGCACTAATGAGAAAGTAAAGGACGAGCTTCGCTGCGGTCTCCATGCAGCCTGTCATTTCGTCATTATCAGACACACTGCAATCGAGACAAGTCAGATCAGAGAACGCGCACGCCATCGCTTGCAGCCGCCTATAGAGCAGCTTAATCTCGTCAGATTCTACAAGGCCAGTACGGGCGTATGCGTCTGCTTCTGGCGAAGTCGCATGAATGGATCGACAGAGACGTGTAATCTTATGACTGCCGCTGAGCCTTAGAAGTTTCAAGCGCGCTGGTGTTGCGAAGGCTGGGCCGCCAATATACATGCTCATCTTCTGTAGCCTCTGGCCTTTTCCTCTAAAGTATGCGAGCCTTTCGAGCACGATCGACAATTGTAGGGCATCAATGTCTTCGTCTTCATCGTTATTCGTAAACCCAACAATATAGTCGGGGTGGAAATAAAGGTCTCGCCATCGAAGAGCCCATGTGTCGGTGTCAAGAAACCTAGGCTCGTGCTCAAAGGCCCTTAAATTCGGCAGTGTCTTGAGGGCCTTGGAAAATTGAGTAACTGATACATTTCCTGCTTCTGCGTTTGCGATAGACCGAGCGTCTTTGTTTTGCAGCTCGCGGTCTGCATTGTATGCTTCGTAGAGCGCATTTTTCTCTTCTTTGGACAATCTGGCCCACTCTTCGTATGGCATGAGCTGACTACGTAGTTCTTCATCTTCGTAGTAAGTTGTATAACAGGTCTTCCATGGGATGTAATCTGGAGTGCCTGGCTGGTGTATGCCCTTCACCCAGGCGTCGAAGTCCGCAAACTTCCGGTATCCACGAATTCTGCGGAGCGCGATGGTCTTGACAAAACAGTTGAGCACAGAGTTCTGGGAAATGTTATACAGGGACTCGCAGCCGTGCTCGCAGAGCTCAAAGTTAATCTCCTCAAAAAGGAGAGGCGTTGCGAGCCCGCTTAGGCTTCTGCAGGTCTGCCTGACCTGCTTCCATTCCCACACATCGACGTATTCTAAAACTGAGGTTAATAGCTCCGTTGGAAGATCAAGAAGTGACATTGCGCTGCTGTGTGTTGTAGGTAGTAAGAGCGTGAACTAGCACTTGGTAAGTAAAAGTGCGGGGTGCTGGTCTGTGCGCGCACCAAGACTAAATTTACAAAGGTTCCGTTCGGTGTCCGTGAGTCAACCGTACTTAGGGTTGACTTAGGGTAAGCATTGTTAAGAGCAAGGCCATTGGGTAGAAGTGATACAAGACTTCAGGTGTCAAGAACTCTAGAGGTTCGTTTTTGCGGATGAAGCAACAGTGTTTTATGAACAAAGATTTCTCAAGTAACTTATATAGTTATTGTACTTGTACTCGTAACTTAGGTTGAACACATTGAGCTATAAGGGTTCGATGCCTATTGCTATATACTAAGGAGTGTGGCTTGCCCAATGTTGAGCACTGTTTTGCTCAATACTGAGCACTGTTTTGCTCAATACTGAGCACTTGTGATTGGCTACTGTGCTATCTACTGATTGGTCGAAAGTGCTCACCACCGAGCACTGTGGGTTCTGCTCATTACTGAGCGCCTGCTTATTCTTGAGCAGTCACGTCACTGTGGCACGGTAGGAAGGATTGCGGCACAGCATTTTAGGTTAAATCTTTCAAACTACTAACAGCTACTGGGATGTAATCGCTGTGATTACTTTGTAAGTCCTTTTTAGATGGGTGTGTTCATGGATCGTAACAAGCATAGTTATTCCTAAGCCCAACTGGCAGCGCAACCCCAAGTTAGCACGGGCCATACCCACGAACACCAACTCTTTCCCTTATTTTATCTCATAGCTCACGCTACATAGGTCGCATGATAATAAAATATAGTGCATTGAACGCGTACGAGCTTCCTATATATAAATTAAAAGTTGCATTTATTTTGAATATAATTCGGACGGTATTTGCTACTGCGAACTAGTGGGTGGATGGGCAGGGGTAAAACGTGCTATCCGATCATATTATTATTCTATTATAGTCCTGTATCAGCCGTTAGCTATATAGGACTTTAGCTAAAGGCCATTTTATCTAACTAGTTATAATTTAGTACGTTATACTATATTATATAATTATAGTACTTAAGTCTATATCTAGCTAAGTGTTATAAGTAACAAGAAGGATTCTCTCCTTAACAAATAACGAGATAGCTAAAGGCCTAGGGACGTCCACGTCAGAAGGTAATAATTAACGCGGGGCGAAGATCACGTCACATAGCACCTCACCAAGATAGGATATCTAGAGATGCTAGACCCTTAGGAGATGCTAGGACATCTAGAGATACCAACGACATCTAAGATACTAGAGGCTTAGCTAGATATTAGAACTAGAAGTAATAAGGATATAAAGATAGATAGATTTTATTATTTACTCTTATTATAGTTAACTTAAATTATACTTTCTTACTAGTATTTTTACTTTATAAGATAGTTATATATTAGTCTATTAAATAGATTAGCGTTATTAAACCCTTAGTTATATCTATAACTCCTTTCTACTACGAATTGCTAGACAACTCTTACGGCGCTAACCCCAATCCTACTCGCCCTAACCCGGATCGAGCTAGAGAAGTATTAGCACTCTAGACCCCGTGTAACACTAAGCTATTACTAGCTTTCTAGATACCTAGTACTAAAGAGTAGTTTAGTAATAGGGAGAGATATAGGGTAGCTAGGCTACCTTCTAGTAAGCTCTTTTAAAGAAAATAAAATATTACTAAAAGATTAAAATTTATTCTTCTTTATTTTTCTTTTTTTATTTTTCTTTTCTATTATTTTTTCTTTCTAGCCTTCTTAGCTAAGATATTACTTTCTAATTTCTATTTTTATACTAATAATAAAAGCTAAGCTAGC